AGTTGTTTTTTATGAGATAAGACCCTTTTCTGTGCTGCTTTGTGGAAAAAAAGTCTATTCTTTACCTCGAACAAATGTAATTTTAGGGAAATTCCACATTTAGCGTGGGAGCAAAAGGAAACATTTTTCTGGCAGATCATCATCATCATCATCATCATCGTTATTTTAACTGAAATCCCCTGTTTGTCTCGGTGATGTCGCAGAGCCGGTGGCTGCGTGTGGTGGCGCGGGCTATGTAACTGCGTACTCGGTGGCAGGGTGCCCTTGGGGCTCAATGGCTGCTCGAGTGTTCACTGCATGCTGGTTTAAATATCGTGTCTGCTTTAAAGGTTACTTCTGAAAGCCGTTTTCGCTGTTTGCTCTACTTACGTTGGAGAAAGACCTAATTATGTCTCTTTTTACTCACGTTCTCAGTGTATTCATCATGATTCTGCAGCAGATACTGCGGCTTTCTTCCATTTTTCGCTCTGCTGTCTCCGTACACTTGCATAGGAACATGGGCCTCTCTGCTATTGCCTTTAATAAGGCTAAAGAGCTTGATCCAGTTCAGAAGCTCTTCTTGGACAAGATCAGAGAATACAACACAAAGAGCAAGTAAGTAAATAAAATTACTTTAGAGCAGATGGCAAACTGAGGAAAAAAAATGTTGATTTTGACAAACATTAAAACACATTAGGTGTGTAGCCTTGGTCTCTAAATTTGTGCTCCTGTATCAGTAGGAAAGTTTCCATTAACTGCTGGGATCACCAAGGGAGAAGACGCAAGTTCTTTCAAAAGGTGTTTAACTGTTTTAAGTATCACACTGATAAACTTACCTCTCACTACTGATGATGGAGGGAAACTAGAAAGAACAGTCTCTGGAGCCTAGTTTCACTTGAACAACCTCTCTGTAAGTGCCCATGTAAAGCTGGGTAGAAGTGTTTCAACTAAATATTTTAGCTTTTAAAAATGGGTGAAAGTTGGCATAATTGTTTGTCTTTTTGTAGCAATGCAATACTCTGATGCAGCTTTCACTGGCAGACTTCCTGGGTAGAACGATAAAGCAGAACATTCTCCCAGGTTGAAATTGGAGCAAGGATCTGAATCTAGCTCTTGCACCCTCAAAAAGCACCTGAAGCCCCTTAAAGGCTGACTGATACGTGGCGATATTTCTTCTCTTGGTGGTAACATATGTTGGTGTAAGAATGTATTGAGGGAGAAGGTAGCCGTGACAGTGCTAAAAATGGAAGATTCAGGTTTTTGCTTCTAGTTCAGAAGTTTCCTTATTAACTAGTACATTGACTAGTGCATTGTGAAGCAGGTTTCTGGCTTGCTCAACAAACAAACAAACAAACAAACAAAAACCTAAGGAGGTCTAATTCTGCTCTGAAACAGATTTTTAGGCTGAAGTCTTCTGTGAAACAGAACTTTTGCTTTTCTGCAATGTTTAAAGTGTCCCAGTGAGCAGGCTTACTCTTGCATACCTGATAGAAAAGGTACAGTCCTTTTCCCTTAAAAAAGTAAAATAAAATAAAGTTAATGAGGCTCTCTCTCTTCTTAGAGAGCTAAGGCACTTGCTGAAGTTTTAGTCTGGGGAAAATGGATGTTCTTCAGTCAGATTTTCAGAAAGAGCAACTGAGAATTAATGGAATTGGGAGGCTAGTTTGTTAAAAATCTGAAGTTAATAAGTTGCTTCATTCAAATGGAATCTTAGGTTCTTGTAATTAACTGTTTAACAGGAAACTAAGATTATAATAATTCTGTGTAATGCTCAGACTGTTGAAGCAGAATGTAGCTTGTTTAATTCTGTCTTGGGAAGGAAGCAAGCCACTTAGCTGTGCTGTTAGAAAATGTGGATTTCTGCACCTTCAGAATAGCCTGTTTAGTGGAAGCATGTTTTCTGTGGCTTTGCCAACCTAAGTGATACAGTGTTGTTATTGCAGAGCGTGAGTAATCTATACGGTTACTGTTTTATGTTTAGATTCAGACAGGAATTTCTTAGAATACATCTGAATGCAAGATGCATGTCCCTTTTGTTTGCTTCTTTAGTATTCAAATCATGTTCTCTTTGCAAGGATCAAGTTAGGCAGAAATAGCAGGGGTTCAAATCACAACTTTGTCCAGAAATTGCATCTGGAACAACTGAAATGAAAGTCCACCAAGGCTGGATACTCAATGTTGTTTTACATCTCAAAGAGCTGCCGCTGTGGCTCAGATTTTCATTAGCTGTAGCAGAAAGCCTGTACCTCTCCCCCCCCGCCCCGAGAACCTTGTTTATCTGTGTGGTAAGTAGGCCTTACAGCATGCCATATCTCGACTCTTGGAAACATTTTTTATTGCTTGCTTTAGTTGGTTTTGGAAACGATTTTTAACTCATAAAAAGGCATGAAAATGTAAAAGTTTCATGTGACATTTCAGAATTGAACTATTCATCGGAACTTTTTTTTTTTTTTTTTCAGACAAGCTGGGGGGCCTGTTGATGTAGGCCCTGAGTTTCAGAAAGAAATGAATGAATCACTTGCCAGACTACAACGGATGTATGGTGAAGGAGACCTAACGAAGTTTCCAGAATTTAAATTTGAGGGTGAGCAAACAATCTTACTTAACTTTTAATTACAAGTAAGGACATACATGTTCATTAGAGAGTCTTTTCCCATTTAGTTTTTATAGGGACTGTTAGATAAGATGCTCTCAGTGAATATCCTTGCTTTTGCACATGGTCCGCATCTGACAGTCTTTCTCAATTTGCTGTTTCCAGTAAAGGTGCAGACTTTTTTCTGATGCTTAACCAAACTTGCAGTCAAGAGTAGGCTGTCTGAATTGTTCTTCACAGATCCCAAGGAAATAGCCCACAGAGGCCCTCCTCTTGCATTTTTTTTTATTCCCCAGAAGAGGTCAGCAGACTGTCACTTGAAAATCAGTTGTCTTTATCCTCCTAACTGTAATTTGTAAGTTCTCTAAGCTCATCTGGAAAGTCAGTGATCTAACACAGAACTTAACTTTCTCCTATTCATGATTAATTATGACTAAATACTTGGAGAAAAATAGTTTTCACATAATTTGGAGGTGATTTCTGTTTAACTGCTCTAAGTTTGTATTAGCCTGTTTTTGTATTACGCAGAGTGATTGTGACAACATGCTTGTTCTGAGCTGTTTGTTTAGAATATGGAGGGACTGCATCAACTCTGTCTGCCTTATGAGATAAGGCAAACTTAAATAATTAAGGATAGACTCATTTCTTCAGTTCTTTTTTCTCTTATTTACATATATACAGCTGAAAATCTCCATTGCTCACAAGCAGCTTGATCTGTGGCCAAGTTTGGGAGGGGGAAACCATCTCTCCTATAAGTTCTAAGCAGCTGGTAGCCAGGGTTCAGCATTCTCTTTCATGTGTCAGTACCCTGTCATTTTGATCAAACTAACTAAAAATTCTACTTCAGACCAGGGATTCAACTAAAAATATTGTTGGTGGGCTTTCAGTGGATTAAGGAAGAATTTGGTGTCAAATGCTAATTAGTGCAAAGAAAACAGAACCTCTGTAAAGTAGGAATTACTGCAGTTTTAGGGATGTACTTTATTTTTATACTGCTTTAAGTATTACTATGTAACGTGTGAAACATTAAAGTTTAGAACTTTTTTTCTTAATGAAACAAAACTTTTGGGTATAAGGGAACAGACCAAATATGGGGGAGGGACAGTTGCTCTTATTTTTTTTACCAATGTTGTATAGCTTTAATCTAATTTCTACAAGTTTTATGAAACTAAGTAGCTAGTTGGCTAGAAGTATGTCTTAGCGAAAATTACTGTGAACTTAAGATATACCTCAAACTCTGCTTTGTAGTAAGGGGAACAGGCATTAATAACCCACCTATAAAAAGCACTAACCCCTTTATAGTTTGTACCTTTTGACACGACGAATTCATTTCTCAGAGTTTTTACAATGCGGAAACTCTTTTGCTGAGGGGAGTTGACATAGCGCATTCCATTCTGTTAACTAGCTATAAGACAATAATTAAGAGAAAAGTAGAGCTCAGTTACTTGTTCTCGTGTGAGAGCTCTACTGGATGAAATGATACTTTATTAATTCCAACAATGTCCTGGTTGATTTCTTCAGCTTCTCTACCCTTCCTGCCCCACTCCCCCCCCCCCCAAAAAAAGGTATCTGGAACAATCATGTTTGCTATCGAAAGCTGTTTGGGTAGAATGTTACCAAGGTGCATGTCTTACCCTGTCAGAATTACTTAAAGCTTATGTACAACTCCTCTAAGGTGAAGGGCTATCTCCAGTGTGCTTTATTCATTAATGCACTCTTCCCCAAACATACTTTGGCACAAGCAAAATAAGTAAATGGTGTTGTATACTACAGTGTACAACAGCTCACTTCAGCTCACCAACGTAATTCTTAGTTTCCTTTCAGTAGCATATTAATTGCAGTGGTTGAGGCTGGAGTAAAAAGAAAGTCATGTGGCTTTTCTTCTTCTGTCTTACTTTTAGAGCCCAACTTTGAAGAGACTCCAAAGTGATCGCAGGTTGTCAAACAGCGGTGTACTTCCATGGAGGTGCTGAATATGACATCAGTTGTAACTCAATAAATGTTTCAGGTTGACTTCAGAAGTGTGCATAAGTTCTTAAGTGTATGGTGATTTTGTCAACTATAATAGTTAAGTCAGTCAGCATGATTCAGTAATTGAAAGAGGAACTCCTTTGCTAAGCTGTAGTTTAGTACAGAGACAAGTTATAACACTGATAATGAAACATCTACAACACTGTGAAATTATTTATTTTCTTGAATTTATTACATCCAAAAAGCTTCTGCAGAATAAATCTAAACCCTGAACTTGGGGCCTAGCTTTGTGGAAGTGATAGACCTGCACAGCCAGAAGCACAAGTACAAGTAGGGTTATTTTATGCTTTTATAGAAGCAAGGGGAGCCTGAAGTTAGTGAAGCTTAAATCCCACACACTGAGCTATTGCCACAAGCACTTCCAACTCTCAAAAAGCTATTATTTTTGTAACACTTCAACAGGTAGGGTCCAGATACAAGAGCTTAGTTTTGCTGGCATGATTTTCCTTTGTAATTTACATGATATATGCAGTCTGCAGAAAGATGTACACTTTGTTACAGTGCACTTCTACAGAAGAGGCATATGCTGCAGGTACTTCACATTAGATAACGTAATGCTGGAGCCTCAATTACAGGAAGCTTTGTCAGAATAGCAAGTTAAAATCTGCATAAGTACTCGGGCACAGAGAGGGCTTTGACATTTAATGCACTAGAACTAGTCAGGATGGCAGGAGAGTTTGAGCCCTTGACAGCTGGTGGAGGCATAAGAAGTGGCCTTGGTAAAGAGTATTTGGAAAGACTGGTCCAAGCTATAAAGATGAATCCCTTATTGCTGGGTGCATACATCATCAAAAAGAGGTCTTCACACAAATTGACTTTTATAGTCTGTTTATTTCTATCTTAAATTAAAAAAGAAATGCAACTAATACACAATGAGGTTGACTCTAAACATGAGCAGTTTCTGTTTTCAGCATGTAGTACATGGAAACTATTTACAGAATGGAGGTCAAAAGATCCCTTTGATTTTTTGTATAACAAGTAGTCAGTTGCTGTCCCTCACAGAGGCCGAAATCTTCTAAATAACAAAGGATTTGGTGTGCTTGAAATCCTAGATGAAATAAGCAAGGTGACATAAGTAAGAGTTCAAAGACTTTAAGCAGATTTAACATTCAGTGTACGCTTCAGAGGAAATCAAGGCATCTAGGTTTAAAAAGAGGAAGTGCGCCTGAAGCATTGTCTGTCAGTTAATATATTTTCCTTTCTGGAAAGGGAAGGATGCAGAATTCACTCTTACGCAGAATAGAAGCAGGAGCCTATTAAAAGAAAACCTCAACAGAAAGCTGTTTAATGCTTTAGTTGTTTTTAAGTGAAGCATTCACTAGACTGAATTCAAAGTAAAGGACTTCACTAATTGATTAAGATCAGTAAAGAGATACCCTTCAGAGCAACTAGATAGTAGTTTTCTTGTATGCATACTAGATGAGAGAATAAACTTACGCTATGTATTATGTTCTGTTTTCTAATTAAAGGGTGGGATGGCTTTCAGAGAGCTTGTAACACTAGCACTGTAGCCTTAAACCATAGATACTCAGTTAAGTTTTTCCTAATTGAAGCTTTAGTTGAAGCTCCATTCTTTTTACACCAGTTTGAAGAGCAGGAGCAATGCGAACATACTTAAATCCTCTGAGCTTTCTCAACCAGGAAGGGGGGGGAAAAAGTTAGTAGTAAGTTTGACTTCAGTAATTAGTCAAGCCTTTTAAAGCCACATAAACCTGAACAGGAACTAGGGCCCAAACTCCTCCTCTCACTGCTACCTTGGAGTTTGGCATGCTAGTCTGGGACACTGTTAATGTCTTTGGTTAGCTAATACACAAAAGCAAGAGCGGAAGTCTTCCTCAAACAAGTACATTGTGGCGAAGTAGACAGTAACTACAGAGATTAAATTATCAAATAGTGTAGGAGTGTTCTCTCTCTTTAGTTGGCCTGATGGGATGATGGGGGAAGAAGATGGAAGACACCAATAGGACAGGGAGATGCAGAAAGGAGGACGTAAAGGACAAGAAGGTAGAACATCTGGTCAGTGGGGTAAAGTCTCAGACTGCGAAATATATAGCAAGAGGCTATAGTTGTATGGCATTTGAGATCAATAGGGAGTCATAAATAGATAAGGTATCTCCAAGTATTGGTGGCATGTAAACTTGGGGGTGGGTAAACTCTCCTTGTGTCTATGATGTTTTTGCAAAGGAGTTTTGAACAAACTAAAACTTTTTAAACACACTACTGAATGCAAGATACTTGCCTTTTCACTTGTAGATTGACAGTTGGACTTCTTTCTGTTGAAAGAATGGACAGGAAGGTAGGTTAAATAGTGACTTTTCTGGTGTTAGTTTTAGCCCTTTGAGAACTTTATTTATGAATGTATTTGTCTTGATTTCTAATAATCCTAGTTTTTTTCTTGAGAAAGAAACCCACAATATGTATATATATTATAACTCCACTGAAAGCCTTTTATATAGCTGTCACTGTCTCTCATGAACTGCTGCCAAGTTACCTTCCCTAGCTTTTTGTTTCAAGGCTTCAGTTATGCCATCTAGTTCCTGACCACTACAAGGAACAGTATTTTAAAGTATTTGTATCTTCAGTATGTTACTTTTTTTTTTTTTTTTAAACCTGCAAGTGATAATACAAGCTTTAAAAGCTGTCCCCTCCGAAAGCAAGGTCAGCCTTGAACAAAGCACACAAGTTTAGCCTTGTGTGGGAATTCTTGAATAGCTTGAAGAATTCTGACTTCCTACTAAGAAACAGCTACTGGAAATTTTAAATGCCTTACATAAATCCATACCAAAGGAGTAGACCAGATGACCAATCCCTTCCAATCATATTTTTACAAAATATTTCCCCAAATAATCTGTAGGTACAGGTATGAACCGAGTTCAATTTGGCCCTCAACATCTCTTGTCCAATTTGCTTTTGGAAAGGAAAATTGCATGCCTGTAGCTGAGTTAGGGGGTAAATCATAACTATCTAAAAAGATTTATTAGTATACATTTATTAGAAATATGTTTAACTCATTAGAACCAGCACGCTGGTCAGACTGAAGGAACCAGTCAGTGTGCAAGATCAGGTGTATTTCAATGTTGAGGAAAGAAGCCTGTACAAAAATCATGTAAGAAAGACTTTAACAAGAATCACAGTTACTATATCATCAGAAACATAACTGAAGTTTACAGTGGCTGGCATAGCACTTTATAAAACATCAGGATACTTACTGGGAAGAGCTTTCCTCTGAAAAAGAAGAGGGGGGAAAAAAAAAGTTAGCACAAGAACAGTTTCCTTAGCTGATTTAACATTTTTTTTAAAAGTATTTGCTCACACCTTCTTCAGCTCTAATTTCTAGAAAGTGCTTCTGAACCAAATTTTTTTGTGATAGTGAATTTAACAGAAAAGCAGGTTAGGTTGCTTTCAAAACTTAATTTAACTTATGAGTGAGCATCAACTCTAACAACAATTCTGTTGGCCAGTCACTCAGGCAGTTGACTTTCTCAGACAGAGACATTTGGGCATCCCCTTTCTTGCTTGCTGTGCTGAACTCCACAGGCACTAATGTAAATGCTATTGAGAAGCTGCTCTGTGACAGCCACATACTGCAATAATCCTTAAATGGGGATTTTCTCCATGTGTACTTTCACCACGAACCAGAAGAGGGAGCCAGTTAAGTTCGCCTTCGCCAGAACAGAACGCCAGAACGTTAGCTATTCAAACCTTTTACAATACAACTGAACTTGTATAGGTGGTTTTTATGTTCCTTGCCTTTGCAATCCCCTCTCAAACTAGGGGAAAGAAGCCAGGGTTCTGCTCAGTACTTTACCGAGATTGCCGTTTGGTAGCCTTATGCAACTGCACAAGCATCTCCATTCTTAATGGATCTTTGGAATGTAAAAGTAGGCAGAATAAAAACGTCTGCAGATTAGAGCTACAGCTGCAGTACTCTTTAGCTTTAGTACCATGGATTTAGGGCCTTCATGAAAGGGAGGGCATGGTACAATCAGCAGAAATGCAGTCATTTTCTTGACACAAGGAAAGAGAAATTTTATTTTACTTACTTGTAAAGTAACCCTTTTTTTGGGCATAAAATACTCCAAGGCCACAAAGTGCCATTACCAGAGCCACAAATACTACGGCAACAATTATACCGCTTACATTAAGGTCATCTGTAATTATAAAATAAAAATCCAATTTTATAAGTTGCAAGAGTTCCATCGGCTAGATTTTCCCCATAATTGCTATAGGCACTATTTGTATTAATAGGTGGACTTTTGCCCAAGTTGTATAAATAAATTTATGAACAGTTATATGTCAGTGAACAGTCTGAAAGTGTTTCTGCTATCACAACCATATTAACTTCAAATCCTTATTGTGAGTCAAAAGTAGAGAAAGAATAAAAGGGATCAAGAGATGCATACTCCTTGTTTTGTCTATCCCAAATAAGTACTATTCAAGTCACATGTCTCTAAAGGTCAGTATCTTGAAACCTTTAATGTCTGTTAGAACAGGTATTTTCATATAAGGGTAGTCTGACTAAAAGAATCGAAACAGCTGATTGACAGTGTCAGGACACAGTCCTGAAGAACTCTTCACGCTGATGACTTACTTACAATTGAATGCTTTTTATTTTAAACAGCAAGGCTTTTACAATTCAACACACAAAGGCCACAAAACGTTTTAGTCCAGGTAGCTAAAATTAAATTCTATATTGTGCTACTGAAAAGTCTAGCCATTTTTATTTTAAAGGTGGTGAGCCATGCCTATTTCCCGATACAATGGGCAAGACCTTCAGGCAGGCATCCATTTTCAGGAAAACATCAATAAGCAGAAATATTTCCATAGGTTTTTGCTATATGACCTATTTCTGTTATCTGACCTATTACTTATTTGAATCTTAACTTTAAGCGTACGTTACGATACGGTTGGGGATTTTGCCTCAAAGCTTTTCAGTTTGTGTGCATCGATTGACAGCAATGAGACTGGGGGAGTATTTTTCTTCTACAATAGAAGAATTGTATCTTGGTTGCTTGTGGAACACTTGCTTATATCAAGCAGGAATACATTAAAAGCCTTGATACAGTGATTTTCAACTACTAAGAAAGCACCAGACAATTGTTTTATGTAATACCTTAACAACCAACTATTAAAGCAATTTTGGTTAGGCTATTTTAAAAACTTTAAGTATTTCTATACCAATTTTCTTCCCGTCAAATGTACAAGAGCTAGCTTTTATTTTGCAGAAACACACATGCATTTTGGGTTACTCTGGATTCTGCCCCTCCAGCCTTTGCTGGATTCTTTATTAACAAATATTACATTTTACCTATGTTGTGCAAGTAGAAGAGAAATAGGCAGCAGGATTTTTTTTTTTTTTTTTGAAAAGATAATCAACCTTTTCAGCTTTTGTCTGAAAGGTATGAGTCATTATTTTCAATTAAAGTTAGTTTAACAGATCAGAAACTCTTTTCTAAGTTCTCACAGGAATTCATCTTAAAAGGGAGGCTATTCATAAAGAAAGAAAAAAAGCAAAACAACACACTGGACTTGTAGATTATGCTTTCACAAAAGCATTCTGAAATAATAAGGACCTTATATGGATACTACTATTTTATGAATGTTGCTGTTTAGCAACCTAAAAACTGGCTACTGCGATAATTCTAAAGTACTCAACTAACTGCTTTTCTGTAAAACAGACTGAGCTCCATTTGTGCTTTAAAAAAAAAAAAAAAAAAGCCCATGAAGTAGTCACAGCAACTACATAACAGGCACTCATAACAAGAATATCTGATTATGGCATTTTGGGGGAGGAATAGTAAAAGGATGTAATTCAATCTGGTCTTAGCTTCCTAGTTGCATCATGCAATAAACTCATTCCTTTTGCAAGACTGTTTTGCTTTGACATACCAACTTGCATTCTCTTCACTGAGCATTTCTGAGATAATCCAATCCCGTTAGAGGCTTCACAGAAATACTCTCCAGTGTCGTTCTTTGTAACTGTGTTAAATAGCTGTTAAGACAGAGTCCAAAACAGTTATCAGAATGGAACAAAAATTTCAGAATTTCCTGTTGGACAGAAATTGAAATGTCAATGGCTTTTCCAAAATCTGAAAGAAAGTCAGAAATCCTGATCTCTGATCTCAGTTTGACTTCATAGTTCACTTCCCTAGCCACATCCCCTGGCCCTTATCTTCAACTACTGATGCATCTAGAAGACCGTCTTGGACATTTCAACTAGATGGAGGGGTATCTACAAGGGATTTCTTTTTCAGTAGTTTCTAATAAAATGCTTTTTCCTAGACCTGCTCCTGTTTCAAAAACCCTGACATCAAAACATTTTCATTTTATGAAAAATTAGCCATTTCATATATATATTTTTCCCCATAGAAAAACAGTCTATTTTACAAAAAATTGCACTTCCTATGAATTATTCCAATGGAAAAATGCTGAGCTGCACTATTTTTCAAATATTATTGCTATGAAAATTAAAGTGATCAGCTTCAGTGTTTCTCTGTAGTTAATATTTTTAATAATTAGCCCTGTTAACTTTTTTCCCTTTAATATAACCTACACTAAGACTAAGACTTTTCAGAATCTATTAGTGATTTTGAGTAGGTCACCTAATTTCCAGTGTGCTGAAAGATCCATAGCACCTCTGAAAGGTTAGGTACCTTTCTGTTTCCAAATTTGATCATCCACAAGAATAGGGTGCCTCTAGAATGACTTTTTACTTCTGAAAGATCTCAGTTTACAATGCATCATGAATACTTAAAAAACTTAAAGTTCAGCTAAGGAAGAAAAAAAAAAATAGAAGGCTACTTCTGAGAGAGTCCCCCCACCCCCACCCCCACCACCCCTTATGCTTCCTTACAGCCCCTACTCACTCACAGTGACTTCACCAGTACAGGACTGGAACCTTTAATACCATTGAATTTCAGATTCTGGACTATTCCTAGTCCTGTGTTCCCCATTAAATTTTGTGAAATGGCTATTTTAGATGCAACAGAGCTGTTGAATATATCTCTGTTGACATACAGACAGATCATTTTCACCTGGAACTAGTTAGCTAAGTGACAAGGTGAAAAGTGTCATTTTTTTCTGGATCCTTCTCATTAATCATTACTGCAGCCTTACAATCCACTCAGTTTATTTCACTCAACCTCTATGGTTTGCCATATTTCTAGGGCACAGACTACCTTATATGTTTGTTAGCACATGTCTCAGCATGCTATTCGTCTTGGTTTACAACCCCTGTGCATCACTGTACTAAACGTTAGTCTTCTTAACAGCTGGCTATTACAGTCTTACCAGCGTGCCCGATTTTTTATTCATGGTGTAAGTTATGTTTGCTGCTCTAGCACCGCCTGTTCCTGCCTTTTCCAGCAAGGCGACGCCATTTTTATACCACTGGTACTCAGATGGAGGAGATCCTTCAGTTTCTTTACAGCTCAGTTCCACTACCGTTCCAGTCATTGCAGAGCTGGGTACCTCGCATATCGGAGTGGTCGGAGCAACTGGAAAATAAAAGTGCACTTGTTACTCGGTTATATATGTGCTGTCTATATGACAATGCTTTGCCACTGATTATTAGAGAAGCACTTGAGTACATTCTTAACCATGTTAATTAACTGAGAGGGGCTCTGGAGAAGGGTCCTGCTAGGTCCTTCTCCTGAAGGGCACAGTAATATTTGTGAGTTGCTAAGTGCAGCAGAAAAGAGAAGTCTACTCCTGGCCTCCTCCACCACATGCTGTGCCATCCTGTCTCTGCTCTGTACACTTTTCCAACCCTGAGTAGTTTGCTCTACTGGTGGGCTTCTACTGGTGTTCTTCTAGTGGGCTAAGAAGCCCACTTCCTCAGTGGAGCCTCTTGCACCTGGACAGAAGAGCAATGTCTCAGGGAATTTGGAGTCCAGCAATTGTTTCTGTTAGTATTTAAAAAGCAAGAGTAAGGAAGAAGAAAGAAGGTTTTTTTTTTAATTTAGAAAAAGTCTATTTTTTTTTGAAAAGTGATTGTCAGAAAGTATTACCTAGTTTGACTGCCATCATCACAGCCATTGTGCGAGTCCCAGGCCAAAAGCAACTGCGTATTAACTTTACCTTAAAAAAAAAAAAAAACCAAAAAAAAAACCACCCACCAGTCTGCTACTTGCTTAGTCTTTTTCCTCCATAGCTCTCTGAGCAGTGAGCATCAGTGTGGGAAGAGTTCAAGTCCTTTCCCTAGGTTTTGTTGGAGGACTCAGAAAAACTTCAGTCAGGTTCTTTCATGACTATTCTTACTTCTTTGTCCCTATACAAGCGTCTCTGCCTGTAAGCACAGATAACTCTTTCTGCATCCCAGATGAAGGACTCCATTCCTTCTGCCATAAAAATGAAGGTCTCTCTTCTGATTTTTTTTTGTTACAGAAGAATAACTTATTTTTTCTTGGCTGTCTTTAATGAACCATGCAGATCTCTTCACCCTTAGTTTTCTTCTACATAACTTCAAGTTACTAAAATAAATAAAATTATGAATACTTTTTAAGGTGTCACCTCCTGTTAAAGACTCACAAACAGAAATCCCTAACTCCCCTTAACTTTCATTGAAAGTGCAGGAAAGATGCACTGAACTCCTTCAAGCTCTTAGATTGTAGCTTTAAATCCAGATGCTGCATTCAAAAACAATTCTGTTGAGAAGGAAAAAGTGGCATTACCTCATTGTTGAAGCTGGTGAGAAGTTCATGCCTCTTTTAAGAAGAATTTTGAGACTTTGGTTTTAATTAAAAAATAATAATCAATTATTTTCTGTAGATAAAACAGTACAGACATTTCAAAAGCAAGTATTTTCTTTCCTTCCTATGAAGGAAAAAAACTACCTACCTCTACCACTCATCTATGAGTTAAAAATGGGAGAGGCAGTGTAAGAGTATGCTCAGTATTCACTTCTTCCCCTCCTTTCCCAAAAGGGAGATTAAAAAATAAAAAATAATCTCTCCTGTAAATAAACTGCACAGAGTGCTAGCTGGCATTGCACAGTCACTGCAGCAATTTCTTTTGCTAAAAACAGGAGGAGCCTGTAGCATCTTGGAATGAATTGCTGCTTAGAAACATTTGATAAGTTAATTGTTGACAGATGCTGCCTTTCCAGTGCCAAACACCATGATCAGCACATCTAGATTCTCAGCAACTTGAATGACATCAGTTTTAGTAGAAATGGTCATTTCACCATGATATAAATCAGCGTACTTACTAAGTTTTGACAACTACAATATACATTTATATCCATAAAAAAACTAGTTATTGTTAGCATTTGCAAGCAGCTAAAAATCCCACATTCCTCAGTCCTATATTTGCAAAAGCGTGCATTTTACAAAGTTCTTCTATCAACTGCATTGCAGAGTGTGTGTATGCATGTGTGTTTATGTGTATGCACGTGTGTGTAAGACCAACCCAAAGACCCAAAACCCCAACAGCCATGCACTACACAGACAACCTTAACACACCCAGCCATCTTTCCATTTCTTTACAGAAGCCCAAGTAGTAAAGTCTGTTTATACCCAACACTGTGAGAGTAATAGTAGCCTCTCCCAAGAGTTGGTCATGTTCACTCTTCGCAGTAATTTCACAGCGGTAGGTCCCAGAATCCTTTCTGGTCACATTTCTAATACGGATTCCTGTATTCAGCATCTCTGCTCGGTCTTTAAGATCACCTTTAAGAGAGAACAAATAGGTATTTTCCAAAAACAAACCAGTCCCCCCTCCTCCTCTAAAAGCAGAAACATCCATGTCATCAGCTTGTTTTGAAGCTAAGTCATTTATGTATCATTGTTCATTTACTCAATGTTAGTTATCTATCACCAAGGAGCATTATCTAATTCCACCCTACTTTCCCTCCCCTGCCCAAGAGGGTAAGAACCTTCCACAGACTGGTCCATTCAATCTGAAAAGCTCAACTCAAAAACCTACATCCGTCATACAGTTTGTAGTTGGAAGATGGAACACATTTTCCCGAAGATTTTTCAAGAAAACATGTATAGCAATAGTCAGGCAAACAAATTAGATTATTTTCTTTTCAGAAAGATGGCAACCGCTAACATAACTCCCGTACAGAATTCCGAGTGAAACCACAGCAAAGTATTTGGGATTTTAACTTGTCAGGAAAACTTGATGGATTTAGCAAAGATACTGTCATCAGACTTCTTGTAAAAAAGCAATGAGGTTTTGTTCAGTCTATAGCTTTTTGTGAAATTACTTGCACATATAGAACCAGGAGTTCTAATTCCTATTCAGGAATAAAACAAGTCCATCAACAAAACTAGCACATCTTGCTGTGCAAACGAATCACTGTGGCTTTATTTTACTTCTCAAGCTTCATTTATTGTGTACAAGGTACCAGAGACCCATATTTTCCTCAATACATAAAGCTGAAGTAAGTCATTTTAAGAACAATATATAAATTCTACTTCTAAAAAGAATACAATTTAAAATACACTGCTGAGTTTAAATTTTATGTATATAAAAATTGCTGCACTACTTATGCCCAAGTCTCCATGCAGCTCTACAGGATCCATCAGAAATCTCTTCATAATATGGGGGGGGGGGGGGGTGGTTGTGTTCAGTTTCCTTTTGGGACAACTTTAAAGAACATGCAGTGCCGTTTTCCCTAGCCTCAAGTTTTACTATATTTAACTTTATTAAAAAGGTACCTAACCATTGAAGACTTAAAAAACAAAACAAAAAACAGCTTTTTTGTGGGGAGGCTTTCTTTTCCTCAGAAGGATTCAGTGCTGAGCGTTAAAAGCATTCTCATTCACTCATCTTCCCAATCTTTTTCCCTAAGAGGCAGCCAAGATCCAGATCAGAGATGATACATTAAGCCATCAGTCTAAGTTTGCAGTACTGTACCTGTAAATTGACCATTGTAATATACAAATGAGACTCCTCGCGACTGGATTTTCTTCCATTCTATTCTTAGACTCATCTCTTTTGAAAATTTGTGCTTGCAGCTAAGAATAGTCTCTAGGAAAAGAGTGAAACAGAAATTAGGGTTGTTAGTATTGTGTTTGCTACACATTCAGGCTCCATGAAGTTAATTATCTCTCTTCAAAAGGACTTGAGCAGTCAGCAAGGGCCAAATCCACTTCTCAAAGCGATGTCATCAGACTTCTCCAGATTTACACAATTGCAACGGGGAACAGAAATTAGTAGTGTTCCCATACTTTAGTGGCCTTCAGATCAGACTTCAGGTGTTGGGGACCAGATATTCACAGGTTGGATGAGCAGACATACTATCCTACTACCACTGCAGCATGTTTAACTATTTGTCAGTTAGCAGACCACTATTAAAAGAAAACTCTGAGCTCATTATTGTCAATATTTGTGAATTACTGTTCCAAATTCAGTAGGAGTAGTTTGACTGTTTAAATGTAAAACTTAATACAGATGAAAAAAAATGTACCAATACAATGGGTTAAATGTTCCCCAAAGTAACTTAAGTATTTAGTTACAATTTCATATTGGTTACCTCTTATTTTTCTTCAGTTCTTAAGTAAACCATGTTCATATTACTGTTACCTTTCTGTCTGCCCACTCAGCTTTTCCTGACTTACATGGAACGGGCATCCCCAATCAAATTTCACACAGAGGCCAAGGTCTCAAGAGAGAGTTACTGATTTGTACTAACCTTGCAGTAACTGGGTAGGGAACAGGCTTACTCTAGTACACCTAATGAGGAAGGGGTCACAATGGGAACTCAGCTGTTCTTTCCCCCCCCACCTCACAGCAGGGCATCAGCATATGCCATCAGTACTACGTAACTACGTAGCTCAAACATTAATTATGGTCTATGATCAGGCCCGTAATTATTATGAGGGAACTGAAGACAACTGGGGGAAAACATCACATACTGCGTAGGTGAGTTACTGGGGCTTCAGTAGTTCCGCTGCCTGTAGAACAGTATGCCGGAAAATAGAGTTACTTATTGCAAAAAAATAAAGTCAAGGAATTTAAGAATGAGACTTGTTGGGAGACAATCAGAGGAATGAACCCAGCTACACATCTGACTGGCTCTGAATCTCTCCATTAATGAGGTAAGCCTTAATATCTCCTGGAAATATCCGTATAAGATCATCTATTATTGAAGCAGGTCTGCACACTTGTCCCCACTATCAATCATCTTTTCTTTACACTAGGAAGAACTGTGCCTGTTAAAGCTAAAGCAGTGGGCCCTCTTATACGCGAGAGGATAGCAGAACAGCTTATGCAAGTGACACCACTAATGAGATATCCATCAGTATCTCAGGGTTTTTAATAATTTTCAAGAGGAAGTATGGCAACAGGGGAAAGACCAAATGGCAACAAAATATTGGTCACCAAGAGACCAAAAGCAGTGCGAGGGCGGTCAGGGCCCCAAATTCTTACAGCATAAGAGAGCTAAAGTAGGAAAGCAGCCCTTTTTTACTGCAGGCCTGGAAGAAATGAGTTAATACAACATGACTGAAAACAGAAATCATTTCTGTGATTTAGATTTGTTTTATTCTTCCAAACAGGGTGAAAGAAACCAGTACAATATTGGGCTTGCTACCTTTAGACTGCTTATCTTCCACTATAAGACAGAGCATCATTGGTCAAAGATCTTTTCATTTTTTGTGACCTGTCTAGTTTTCAGATGAAAAACATCCACTCATTCTACATTAGCCTGCACTCTCATTTCCAGTCTCAGCAAACAAGGCTGAAAGGTAATTAAAAGCTATCAACAGGTCTGCCCATTCACCCTTTGAGTCCTATTTTCTGGGTCTGTTTTGCGGAGGGAAAAAAAAAGGCTTCACAGGGACCAGACCAGTAACCCTGGTGATGTCCTATACAGAAGAAGTGTCCAGACTTGAAAGAAAAGTCATGAGGCAAGAGGACGTTCTTTGCCAGAAACACGTTATACACACATGCTGGCTGTTTTGCAAAACATGCTGTGCGCTCAGGAAGCCCAAGGTTCCTGACTTCAGGTTGAGTGGATGGGTGGAGGCTTCCTGAATCTTAAAGATTTGCTAAAGTTTCCTTTCCATTTTGTTTTTGTATCCTTCTAACAAAGAAAAACCATCATTCAATTTCAGCTTGCATTTGCTGCTGGCCTTGTGACAGCTGGCCGAATTCATGAGCTGGTCTACATTAGTTAACACTGACATGGCTCAGTTGAGGTGTTCTCAGCTTAGCAGGTCACTTTTACCTTGAACGAGCTGTCCCTTTCTTGCATGCCACGTTTTTTCATTTCAGAAAAAGCTGGTATTGATGCCACTCCCATTAACTTTATCCAGAGAGAAGGAACAGATTGGAAGGAGGAGTGCACTCAGAACAGAGACAACATAATAAGCCTCTCCTTATTTACAGTTCTTCTCTCCTCATCAAATCTCTTAGTAAGAGGAAAAGCAGAGGCATTTTCCAGAGCAGGGTTACTTAATCTTCATTTAGGTATAGTCAGAGGAAGTTACGCATCAGCACAGGCTCTATCAGGCCTGGAAAAAACAGTACATCACGCTTGTAGTTATTCTTCCATGAGCGCTCAAGAAAACTCCAGGGCCTCTGGGATCTTGGAGAGGTCTAGACAATGTTTACTTTGGATTTACATCTAGCCTGGAGGCTAGATGTACATTCCTGTAAGTGCTGTTTCATAAAAAGCAGATGAGAACCCAACATACTACCTGGGCTATGTTAAATTGTTCTCACTGTCATACAAACAACAGAAAAGAATAAAGCACAAGGTATATAGCATACAAAAGAGAAGCTAATCAAGCTTTAATATTACCTGAAGAGCTCCTTTCTCTTGCCTGTCCTCAACTCTAAAGGTATTCCTTTTTTCTTCCCCAAAAGTGAAAATACTTTACAGGAGCCCAGCTGACAACTTCAGAGGCCAGCACAATATTTCATTATTGCCTCGAAGAGATGAAGAGACCCTAGAGCTCAGCGAGCAGTTCTTTCGGTTTCCAAATTCCCATCTCTCTCCATTCAACCCAAATATAAGGGAAATAAACAAACAAACAAACCTCACATACTAGTATCTTTCTCGCCCACCTAACAAACATCACCAAATTTTCCTCCCTGCCCCCCTTAAGTCCTCTAGCCCAAATATGAGAAGTCTTTTGTGATATGTATATATATGTGTATGTGTGTGTATGTGTGCATATATATATAAAAAATAGCCACTAAGTTATAGTTACTGACAATGGCTGATTTATAATTACTCCCTCTTTATACCCTCTCTTCTCTGCCATATAACGCAATTAATGCTTCTCCTTTATATCAGTTCCTAGCATTTTAGGTGGTTAGGTGGAAGGAAACCAGACAGAAGTGAGAGCGGGCTATCAGGATTGACAAACAGGCACAGATTCAGAGAACAGTTGAGGTTGGAAGGTACCTCTGAGGATCATCTAGTCCAACCACAGGTCAAGTAACAGAAAATGGAGGAAAGACTAAGATTACATGAAGAGCCAAAGGAAAGTAGAAGCAGGAACGAGTAATACAACCTTAATGTCTGCACAGCTTCTGTTTGCATAGTTTACATGTATTATGTATATATTTAAGCACAGTGATGCCCATACTGTACCTTTAAACTCCTCTGCTTTTACGTTTTTGTTATCCGTTTCAATAGCAATTCCAGTTACTTTATGATCTGCAACGGGACACAAAAAAAAGTCACAGTTCAGCAGCAAACACTATTACTGTCATAGGTACTTCAACAATGATAAGCAGTATTTTCAAGCTTTCTTCACGTGAGCAGGACAGATCGGATGCTGTCTGCAAGAGACACCACTGGACTGAGAGTCAGAACAACATGACTGACCGTGCAGGTGGCCTTGAATAATTAATCTTTTCCTCTCCATGCCTTGGAACATGTAAAAAAAATTGTAAATGTCAGGCTATTGTAAAAGAGAAATATTACATGTGACAAGTTCTGTAACAGCAGTAGGTATTGTTTTATAATCAGACAATGTCTCAATCTACTGTTTCTTATAGGACAGACAAGTAACTTACATTAATCTGTAAGTACATTTTCCATTGTATTCCTATTGCAAGGCAGGTGTGTTTATTGAAAAATACTGTATACTTCTGCTACAGTACTAGGAATATGTGCAGTAATTGGCAGTCACCTCAAACTCTTGTTGGTATACAGAGAATGAAAACACTAATCAACATTTCTATAGTCTTCTCTGATTATAAAGCTATACCTTCTTGGATCTCTCCTGTGTCTTGGATACTGAAATTCCAGGGAGAATAAGAGAAATAACCACTAGCTCTACATCAGTCCCCACCAAGCTACCCTCCTCGCCCATTGCATCCTGCTATACATACTCTCTGCTTTCAAGCAAGGACTCCACTGCACTTTCCTTCATGACTTATTAGCATTACTGCTGTACAGAAAAAGCGTGTAACATTCATCCTCACCACCACAATGATGGGTCACAAATTTACCAAGCAGTTTACCAACTTTTCTTAAGGACTGCTAAATAAGCAACTGTCTTTGCACTGTACAGATGCATGTACAGGTTTTTTCAAAAGCATCTCAAGTTCCAGTGGGTCTACACCAGTTCTGAAGACAGCATGGAAAATGGCCTCGTGATCTGTTCCCCCTGTCTGCATCAGCCAACTGAACAATTGCTACAGTGGTGGTGAACGAGAGCCGAGCCCCCCAGTCAACAATAATTAGGAAGACGGCTTGTGGAAAGATAGTGTAATATTCTTTTAACTGACACAAACTTGTCCTGCTTTATTCCCAAAGAGGCCATTTAATCTAACCTCATTTTACCTTTCATGCATGCAGACCTCCTTTTTTCATCCTCAAAATTAGTTTCTGTTCCCTCTACCTAATGAGGGGAAGTTGCATAAAATCTAACAGGTGCACATTCAGTCTTGATCTGAAGACATGAAGAGATTAAAAAAAAAAAAAACCTTTTGCTTCCTAATATTTTGTTTTGATAGTCGATTACTTCTGTTAGAAGTATGCACCCCAGTTATCACTTGAGCGAGTCTATTCTGTCTTTCAGCTACAGGTTCTTACCACTGTGAGTTAACATGCTATTTTCTCTGTATAAAGGTATCAAGTCATCTCTTGGTTTTCTGCTGAATAAAGATCATTCTGTGTCATTCAAGTGTATCACTGCAGAAGTGTTCCCCAAACTGTTCTCTTGGCCCTTTTCTCCATATTTTTTTTAATTTTTCAGTATCCTTTTAAAACAAACACATAAACAAAAACACCCACACACATATACTACTGATACCTGCATGATCTACAGCACTCCAAACGTGATCCTATCAGGACCTTTAACCATCACTCCACGGCTCACAGAAGCAGTGATTCTGTTAGCTATCTGAGTCCCCAACACTGTAGCAAAAGTTCAGTTTCTCATTCATCCTTTCTTATACTCCTGCTCAGAGCTGCTGCTTTCCAGACCATCTCCTTGCCTGATGCCCTCCCAATTCCAAGGGCATGGCCAACATTTGTTCCTTCTAAAAGGATACAGCTTCACACCTGACAACCTAAACAAGTGAAATTTCCCACGTGCAGGTTATCAAAAGATCCAAATTCAAGTGTGCAACGCTCCTGTTTTTACCACGCTTTAATCATATAGTCATCTTTGCGTCACCAAAAAATAGCTTCAGTAGAGATTTATAACATGGAGGTAAATATGAAGATGACAATTCAAGCAGTGCTATTTATGTTCCCTGAGAATACTGAAATAGTAAAAATACTTCCATTTCACATAATGCTCTGAGATTTTTCCACTCTATATAGAAGAGATTGCTTTGTGGGGTTTTGTTTGTTTAAAAACAAAAAATACCCCAAACACACTGCTGAAACCAGAACAGGGAACCCCTCCTCCAGCACTTCTGAATGTAGCAATTATTCCCGCTGCACATACAAAGCCGATCTCTTTTTTTATCCAAGTCTCCCTAAGCTTGCTTTCAGGTTTTATTCTAGACCTTTTTGCTTTTAATCTATTAAGCCCTACTTAGATTTATGGGGAAAAAAATAGCCTCTCACTTTTACCCGAATCATTGTTTTGGGAACAATAACAAACATTACCTGTTAGTATACAGGATGTATTCTTATCCATTGAAATAACATCTCTCTTCACACTTTCATGACAGGAAGGAGAGGAGGGGGTGAAGTATTTTGTTCTGAGTTTTTGTCAGTGGCTAACACTTGTTTTTATGTAGTTAGGAAGCATTTGTTTTTAGGATTCAAGTGTGTGCGTAAAGCGACTTACAAGTTATTGTAAGCTTCTATCTGGACACCAAACACCTGCAATTCACAGACATGTTACATATACCTTTCCACAGATCAGAAAATTCTCCTCCTCTTTAATGCAGAGGTCATGCAGCTTACTGTCAGGTCCTAAGTATTCCTAATCTGGAACCCGCAGTAAGAAATCATGTTTTATGCCTTCTGGGGCACAGTCATGGTACTTACTTTTCACTATGGAAGGTAGCATGAAATTACTTTTTATACTCTGCATCTGGACCTTGCAATTGCACCAGGTCTATACCTTTCCCTGTGCATCATGGGAACTAAAGAGTACATGAAGATCTTAGTATGCAATGCAGAAGCACAAGTCATACCAGAAAAATTCAAACTCAGCATACAAACACCTCCCCCCACCCCGGCCAAACCACACATACATGCTTCCCTTCAAGAAAGGGAAGGCTCTGAACAGTAACTTAAGGTGGTGTGGAGATAGCCGACATTTAAAATTATTAAATATTCTGATCGAGCAGAAAGACAAAAGAACTCTTTAAAGCTAAAAGGCCTCCTCCTTAAAATGCCCTTTTAGAAATGCCTCTGCCAACTCTTCATGCTCCAAGACATAAGCTTTGGCTTTTAATTCACCACATAAAGCATGATAACGAAGAGATGACATTACCCCTACTACTTTGTTCATCAAATGCTTTTATATGCAGACTGAAAAGCCATGGTCTTACACAGCAGAAACTTTATCTGTTTAGAAATAAGCCCACCAAGTACATACTCTATTTGAAAAAAAAAAAAAATCACCAGTACAGCTGTGAACTGATACTAGGCAGCTTGAGCAATCATAAGGAAAAGCATATGAGTCAAATCAAAGGAAACAGTGCTGCCTGCAGGAAGTTACATGAGAACAGAATCCAAACAAAGTTGCAAGTACAAGAGAAAAAGCAGTCTTGTGGGATTTGCTTTGCCAAGTTCTACACATCAGGTGGTCTAGAACAAAGCTTAACAAAGGCTAGTGTAAGTTTAGGAAACCGATGTCCCAAGAACAAAGTGAGAACACAGATAGTTCTCTTACCTAAGACCCTGAAAGCAAATAGGAAACCAGACACCTGACTGTTGTTAGCCTCCCTCAGACATACCCCAGGGTACATCATCATGGACATGCTTAGAAGCCAATATGAAATTCTCAGCTATGGAAATACCGACCATTAGGTACTCAAATGATACCTAGAGCTTTTCCATAGTCACATCATCCAAAAATTTGTATCTATTTTGACCATATTTTTTCCTAAGAGAAGCATTCCATAGACAGCAGCCAGCATCAGATAAACGGGGGGGTGAGGAACCTATCTAACTTCAAACAGAATTGGTTGTGAATGGTACTCACAAATGACTAACTCCCATTCTCCTTGCTAGCTCAAGCTATGGTCACTACAACCACCAGGTTCCCACCCTGCACACAGTGGGGCTGGCCCACTAGACTACATTTCTCCAACAGTTATCAAGGAGCTACAGTTCAAACCCACTGCTCTTGCCAACCTCATTGCTAACAGCAGTCAGAGTGCGTAAGGAGGTTTTGTTTTCTGTTAATTCTGCTTTGTGAATGCCAACCTCCAGCAGACACACTGGAGAGGGATCAGGGATACTAACGGCCTCCATTACCACTGGAGTCTCCAGAGTGTCTGTTAGAGCCCTCAGCTGACCTCTGAAGTCAGCAACTTAAGCACCAAAACATAGCCTGAAATAACTGTATCTGAGTGACAACAGCGTCATTAAGTAAATACAACATAAACGCAGCATTAAGACTCCAAACTTTGGAAAAGGACTAGAATAAGTTATTACAGATCATGAGAAAGCCAGCTCCCCTTCTATCTTTCACTTAATTTGAATTACAGTCTTAAAGACTAATAATAGAACAGGATGCTGCTTTGGGCAGAGCTTATCTGATTGACAAAAAAATCATGGCATACCTTCAGCCACCAAACAAATAATGAAGTAGTTTGGGGTAGTTTGGGGGGGGGGGGAGGAGGGACTGTACCGTCAGAATAAACAATCTGTTCAAATTCAGATGTGAAAAGCAAGTTTGTATTTTAGGCTTTGTGCAACTGCACAAAGCACGTAATGCGAAAGAGAAGCCATGTTTTCTGGCTGGCAGCTTTAAAAGGGCATAAAACAGGAAAGGACGTTAAGGAAGGGATGGCCAAGAAGCTCTTTATACGATAGCTTTCAGCAGCACTTTTGTAATGTTTTAGAAATTGTTGGACTTGAGCATAGCATGTCATTGGGATGCTGGAGTTGCTGGAATCCCAAGGAGGTGGGGAAGTATATGCAGTTCCTGATAAGACATTTAACTTACTCTACCGTTAAATACATTGTAAGGTTTTAAACACTTACTGCCTAACTAGGACATCACCCTTGCAGAT